AGTCTCGGCAGTTACGAGTGTAGCGGCGCTTAAACGGCCCGGAAGCCACCTGTACGTGGGGGCGTGTGAGGATTATGCGTGACCGTGTTGGTGGTTGTGTGTGTGTGTGTGTTTGTGTGTGTGTGTGTGTGTGTGTGTGTGTGTGGGTGTGGGTGGGTGTGTTTGTGCGTGCGTGCGCCTGCTGCCCCATTCATTTTTGTGGGCCTCGTCTTACAGCCCGGGTCTTTCATATTCCTGCCGGTGCCCAAAACCGCGGATGTTGAAAGACTGTGTGTGTGTGTGTGTGTGTGTGTGTGTGTGTGTGTGTGTGGGGGTTTACGCCGCAAACCTGGCGCGCCGCAAGCTGGGCCGGGGGAGGGCGGGGGAGGGTGGGGCTGGGAATAATAGACTCGCGGCCCCTGCGGGCTGACAGCCCCGAGTCGGCGCGGCGGGGCGGGGCGGGGCGGGGCAGTCCGCGCGGGGGTGAGCAGGCAGGCGCTTGCCTTGGGGTCGCGTCTCGCGTCTCCCTGTGCCTTGACATGTGGACTGCTCTGTGTGTGTGCTTGTGTGTGTGTGCGTTGGGCCGGCCCCGCCTCTCTTCACGATCGCGGTCGTCTTTTGAAAGCGGTGTCGGTGTAGAGCGGTGTTATATCTGGAGTACCAGCAGCCGGCGCGGCGAGTGGGGTGCATGGGCGTGGAGGGGAGGTGGCCGCTCGTGTGGAAGGAGTGCCACGAGCCGTCTCCAAATTAATAGATTCATTAATCGAATCAATGATTCATATTCGCGGGACAGAACGCCGCCACTGTGTGTGCTTTTGTTTTTCTTTCTTTTTCGTTTTTCTTTTTTTCTTTCTTTCTTCCGCGAGCCCTTTTGGAAGTCTTGGAAATCACCGCCGTCGCTGAGCCTCCCTGCAGGTCCTTGGGTCCTTAGGGTAGCGATGCTGCAAAAGCAGCCGTGTGTATGCACATGGGCCTCGGGCCGGCCTGGGCTGGGGGCACACAGTGGGCCAGAAGACCGGTGCAGGCGGCCAAAACTCTAGACGCGTTTTGAGCTCCAGAGTCGCTAAATGGGACTCGAACCGAACACAGTAAAAAAAGATTCGCCGATTCGGTGACGTCTGGGCGCCAAAACGAGAAAATTACAAGAACAGCAACAACCTCAAACTATTCTGGCGGCCCTCTGTTCGTTTCGGCGAGGCTCGGTCTAGTTCCGGTGGCGCTCGGTCCGTTCCGGAGCAGCCACCTCACCCAAACGGCACTGCAGACACCCTCCCGCCAGCGACTTTTAATCGTCGTATTAATGTGAAATAGGAGACAAAACAGGTCAGGGGCTGTCAGTGATCCTTCGCGTGACTCATAAAAGCGTAACGTTGCCGGCGGGAACGCACAAATATGCACAGACAGCTCAAAAACAGTTGTTGTGGTCAACCTAACCTCTCTGGCAGAACACCACCTGGTGACGCAGGTCACCGTTTTGGTGACGGACCGTCGCCGGGTTTGTAGGGGTACCCGTTTTGGTGAGATCAAATATAGAACGACCACCAAAACAGCGAATCTTTTTTTACTGTGAACGTGTGACCCCACCAATGGATTGCTCTCCGCACGAGGAATCCATTGGTGGGGTCACGAGTTTGCTTCGAGTCCTGTTTAGCGACTCTGGAGCTCAAAACGCGTCTAGAGTTTTGGCCGCCTGCGCCGGTCTTCTGGCCCACTGTGGGGCAGGCCGGGGGCGGTTCGCGGGGGCGGTTCGCGGGGGCGGGGCGGCCCCGCCCCGAGGCCACGCCGACGGCCACCCCGCCGCCTGTTAGACCACGGCCGGCCGATACGGCATACGGCGCGGTGGCTCCCCTCCCCTCCCCTCGCCCGCCACGGACTATCGAATTACGCCTTAACCAAAATATCTGTGTCGGTTTTACATAAGTGTGTCTGACGGGGGTCCAGCAGCCGGCCTGCGCTGCCCGCGGCGGGGGCGGTCCACGCCACTGTAATGCTGGGGTGCGGCTGGCTGGCTGGCTGCCTGACTGCCGGCTGGCCGCTGTGCTCTTAGCTCGTTACCTCCGATTGTGAGCATGATGCCTGTACGTACTGTACTTGCTAGGCAAACCCCTCTTGGCATCGCACTACGCACTCCGCAGTGCTCCGCCTTCCAGTGCAGCCGTAACGTTTTGTTCGTCTCACTGCCTTGTATTTCTATTGCCGCTCTCGGCAGCCCTTCGCCACATAAACATGGCGGGAAGCGCGCCGCCCGGCACCGCCCCTCCCACTCCGCCACTCTCACCTCGCCAATTCCACCGCCTTCCTCGCTCCTCCGCCTTGTGCAAACTCCGGGCTGTCTCTGTCTCCCTCGCACCCACGCGCGGCCTGCGGGACGCCCTGCGAGTGCGAGAGAGACGGAGCGAGACAGCCTGCTGGCCTATATTATGCATCCGGGCGCGACGGTTAGTGGGGCAGGGCGGCGGGGCAGGAAACTCGCGCCCCTACACCCTCCAGCCAAGGCCCCAGCCAAGGCTCCAGCCCTCCAGCCAGAGACAATAAGCCGAAGATCGCGGAAATTATTTTCCCGCGCTATCCGGCCGGGAAAGCACACCGACCACACTGGAAAAAAAGAAGTACTAAAAAGCGAGCTTGCGGTTATGATTCGCAGCCCGAAACTTTCCAAGCGAGTCGCTCTGTTCGCGGCCGCCAAATGAAATTAGGGACGCCGGTCGGCCGATTTCGAACGGCGCGCTGTCTCTCTCGCACGCGTGCGGCCCGGCCGGCGGGTGCGAGAGAGACGGAGCGGCCGGCCCCGCAGTGTAGCCGGAGGGTCAGCGCGGCGGGCGGGGCGGCGGGCGTCCTCAATGAACTTATGTACACACGCTGGTGTATTGACACTGCGGCGCTAATGCGAGCGAGAGAGAGGGCCGAGATGCAGCGCAGTATGTCGCCGCTCTGTTCTTCGATAACGCCGCACAGTGGGCCAGAAGACCGGTGGAGGCGGCACTAGGGTAAATCCACTCTGAAATTCCAGAGTGTATGTCTGAGTTTTAGAGTTTCAATTAGAGTTCCAGAGTTCCTGTCAGAGTTACAGAGTTTATGCCAGAGTTGCAGAGTTCCTTTCAGAGTTTTAGAGTTAACTCAGAGTTTGAGAATTAACTCAGAGTTCCAGAGTTTGTACTCTTCAGAGTTTCTGAATCCTTTTCTGAGTTTCAGAGTTCCATCCAGAGTCTGAAAAGCTGTTCAGAGTTGCAGAGTCGCGCTTGAAGGTTTAGAGTCTGAGTTTGAGTTTCAGAGTGGTGTCCAAATTGGCAAGGCTCTAAATCGAAAAGTTACCGGAATTTTCGATTGAAATTTTATATGCAGCATCTACACACAAATTTAGTAGGGCCATTTTAATTTTATTAAATTTGGAAACCTTTTTTCTGCTATCTCGTGAACCGTTGGTGGTAGCACAAAATGGATCGCGGATTCGGATCGAACTCGGTTCCACGACCCCTATAACATTGTAATGATCTTAAAAAAACATGTTGGATTGGAGATAATGACACTTTTAAGTTGACTCTGAACCTCTGGAACTCTCATTATTCCTGTCTAAAACTCTGATTATGTCACTCTGAAACTCCGAATGGCACTCTGGAACTCTAACTCTGAGGTGCGCGAATTTTTAGACTAACTTCCTCAGAGTTGCTGGTCCAGAGTTAGTAAACTATGAAATGTCAGAGTGGGATAACTCTGGGAGTTTTCAGAGTGGATTTACCCTAGTGGGTCGAAATCCCGGACGCGTTTTGAGCTGCCGAGTCGCTGAATCGGACTCGAACCGATCGTGTGACCCCACCAATGGATTGCTCTCCGAACGAGGAATCCATTGGTGGGGTCACACGCTCGGTTCGAGGCCTGTTTAGCAACACTCGCCGGAGCTCAAAACCCGTCTAAGCTTTTGGCCACTTCCACTGGTCTTCTGGCCCACTGTGGGCTATGATTCGCAATGGACACGAGCTGGCCGACGACGGGGCCGCCAAGTCCGCATTTAGTGCTCCATGATGATGATGAGGGTGGTGGTGCGGTCGACGTCGTCGTCCCGTAAGGACGCCAGAGCACGTCGGTGTGAGCGAGTGTGTGTCTGTGTGGGTGAGCGTCTGCGCGTGTGTGTCTAGAAGGGGTTGAGTATCGCATATCAAGGCCGAAGTTTCTCCGGGTGGTGCGAGAGAGTCGGGCCAAGCGGAGCGCGTCGGAGACAGCGGGGTCGGAGACACGGCGCCGCCATGCTGGTGTGCTCTCTCTCACACACACACACGCACAAACACACTCTCTGTCGTACTGGCAGCGCTTGCGTCGTGTCGGCAAAATACTGAGGCTGTAGGAGGATGGCAACGTCGGGAAGGGAGGCGGCGAAAAGAGTGTGTTCGGCGATGAAGACGCGAACAAGTTGCGCACGTCCGCCTGTGCGTGAGTGTTTGTGTGTGCACGTGTGTGTGTGTGTGTGTGTGTGTGTGTGCGTGTGTGTGTGTATCTGTGTGCGTGTGCGTGTGTTCGAGTGAGGGCTGACCGCTGACTCCTTGTCCCATCACATACGCCACCGCACTCTCCCCAACATGACCCTCCGCCCGGCCAGGCCAGGCCCGGCTCGGCTCGGGGGCAACACATGTGTAGGGGTGAGAGTGCACGTCGTTAGGGGCGTGGCCCGGCGGGGCGGGGCGGGGCGTTCGGGCAGGCCGGACCCTGCTGCTGCTGACGGATATATATATATATATATATAAACATGGGCCAGGTAGGGAGAGGATGATAAGACGGAACCGGAAGTCGTACGCCTTTCCCCACCGTCTGTCTGTCTGTCTGTCTGTCTGTCTGTCTGTCTGTCCATCCGTCTGTCTCTGTTGTGCCCCATCTCCGGCTGGCAGACCGCAAGTCTCTCACCCACCGTGAAATTCCTTCGGTTCACCGCAACAACATCAACACTCATGGCCAATGGGCAACGATAAAAATGGAGCTGTGAAACACCGCAGAACATCGTCGCTAAAATTCGGCCTCTCCCTCTGTTGCAGGTTCTTCCTCAAGTTCTTCCTGAAATGCAATCAAAACTGTCTCAAGAACGCCGGCAACCCGAGGGACATGCGGAGGTTCCAAGTAAGTACTCCTTTCGCAACGAACTCGCACAAAGCAGCCGGCTGCAGAGCCGAAAGTTTTATTTATTTTCGACAAAAGTGCACTGTGAAAATTTGGTTTGTCACCCAATGACAATTTTGGTCAAGAGTGTCAACACAAGTAGATGACATGATGCATGCCATAAGTGGAGAAGCTTTGATGAAAACTTCCCTCAACTCCAGCAATTTCGTGATAAAACTGTCATCCACAGAGTGACGACAAATTTTTGCAGTGTGTGCGGGCAGCGGCATCGCCCGCGGGGTCGCTCAGCCAAAACCGGAGTTACACCTCGCGGACACGCGACTGCCGCCCGCCGCCGCGACGGCGTCCTCCCCTCCACCGAGGCCTTCGCAGAGGTGTCCCCCACGATGCACGGGGAGACTAATTAAATTTTGAGGAGGCCTTAAAAAGTTAACTCGACGGCAAAACGGACAAAGTCGTCGTCGCGGCCTGGGCCTGGGCCTGGGCTGCCAGGCTGGGCATGCCCTGCAGGGCCTGCAGGGCGGTGGCGCGACTACACTGGCCTGCAAAGGAGACGACGACGACGCCGGAAAAAGAGCAACTTGCCGCTCCACCTTGTTCGCTGCGCCTTTTTTCTCTCGGCGCTACTAAGTGGGTGGCGGCGAAGGGAAGGCCTTTTCATTCCCCGGCTTTGTCCTTGACCCGGGATGAAAAATTCGGAGGTCGTACTACGAGAGGAGGAGGAAGTGGGGCTTGGCGGAGGCGGGCCGCCGCTTGCGCACCACCGGGAAATTGCACCAGAGACATTTCCAGTGCCGTTCGACGCGGCCAGGAACTCGTTGTCTTGGAGGGCGGGGCGGGGCGGGGCGGTGCCACGCCGAGCGGGAGGGGCACTTACAGGGCGAAGGGAGAGGTGTTGTAGAGCAGTACTTGAACTAATTTGCACCAAAGTTTGCTTGGAAAATGTCCCTTCCTCGCGCAGCTCGGCAGGCGTCGGCGGCCCGGCCCGCGGAGGGGAGGGGAGGGGGAGCACGCCGACGTCGGCGTCTCCTTCCCGACGACACTCCGCCTCACGCAGTTGTAGTAATTGTCGGGGAACATCATTTGGAAGGGGTGCATGGCGGGGCGGGGCGGGGGGCGGGGCGGGGCGAAGCGCGCGTGGCGGGTTGGAAAAATTCCAGTCTGCTTTAGGCGGCAGTGTTTTCCCTGGCTGGCGCCCCCAAAATGTCTCGGCAGTGCTAAATAGCAGTGCCCCGGCCCGATAGCCAATAGCCCGGCCCCCCGAGGGACGCCGTCGCGATGCCCTTCAGTCCGACGCGACGCGCTGCCGGCGCCGTCCTGGAGGCAAAGACCGTCGGGGCGGCGGAGACAAGGCGGTGACCGGCGAGGCTCCTCTGAGACGCGGCCTGACATATCGTGGCACCGCTTTGAATGTCAGTCGCCAGTGAGTGACAGCCGCCGAGGGGTGCGCCCGCCCCGCCCGCGCCCCGCCCCGCCCCGCCCCCCCCCGCCCGCCCCGCCCGCCCGCCGCGTCGTCGACAAAAGACGAACCGAGTCATTTGACGCCCGCCAAACTTTCCGAACGACTCGCGATTAATCCCCGTGATGCATCGGGTGGCGCGACAGCGCGCAGCTCGCCGGAATTTGACAACAAACCAAAAAAAAAGTGACAGGAAATATTTCCTGAAACTACCCTGTAGTGTTCGTCAGCGAGCATTGCTCGCAAAAAAAAGCAAGCAAAAAAGCGGCCCGTTTTCGCCCCTTTCGCTTCACCAGAGCGGAGACAACACGGCGCTTTCCTCAAGTCGCGCCTCGCCGTGCTGCCCCGCTGCCTCTCCCCTCTCCGAGCCTCTCCTAGTGACTGTGTTACTTTAATAGAATCATGCAGGACCGAGCAATTAGCCCGGGCCGACAACTTTGCGACTTGACGGCGGCAAAAATTGCAAATAAGGCTGGCGCGGAAATAATGAACGAGGAGAGGGAAAGAGAAAGAGAGAGGACGCGAGAGAGAGGAAGAGGGAGAGAGAGAGAGAGAGGGTGGGACGGGGTAGTGGGGAAAAAATGATAATGAAGTGAAGCTGTTGTGAGCGCAGGAGTGGCTCGCTCACTGCTCGGCCAATTAGGCGAGATAAGTCCTCCGCCTTCGCAGACTCCGCAGGCGTCGCGGGCTTTACAGTGTAGTGCCATATTGATAAGGTGGCTCCTCCGCCATCGTCATGGCCGCATTAAAAACTAACAGCGCCGCGTAAAGATAAGCGCAACAACCCGTCCACCGCGACGGCCGCGCTCCCACCTTTTTCGGCGTTAGAAATGTGGGCTTCTGCGTGGATTTCCCTGGGGATTTCTGTTTGTCGTTTTCGTTTTCAGAGAGTCCGAGAAGTTGGTGAAAAAAAAATGACCCTTTTTTCTTCCTGTGCTGCAGGTGGTGATTTCGACGCAGGTGAGCGTGGACGGCCCCCTCCTGGCCGTCTCGGACAACATGTTCGTCCACAACAACTCCAAGCACGGTCGGCGCGCCAAGAGGCTGGACCCCTCTGACGGTGAGCAAGGCGTCGTCACACAGTAGGCCAGAAGGCCGGCGGAGCCGGCCGAAACTCCAGACGCGTTTTGAGCTCCAGAGTCGCTAAACAGGCCTCGAACCGAGCGTGTTACCCCACCAATGGATTCCTCGTTCCGACAGCAATCCAATGATGGGGTCACGCGTTCGGTTCTAGTCCCATTCAGCGACTCTGGAGCTCAAAACGTGTCTGGAGTTTTGGCCGCAACGGTCTTCTGGCCCACTGTACGTCAACGTGACAAATACCGCCACTTTTTGAAAGAGGTCTTGAACAGCTGATTTCTATCTTTCGGACAGGACTGTACCCTCCCCTGCCGGTGGCCACCCCCTGCATCAAGGCCATCAGCCCCGCCGAGGGCTGGACCAGTGGCGGCGCCACCGTCATCATCATCGGCGAGAACTTCTTCGACGGCCTGCAGGTCGTGTTCGGGACCATGCTCGTCTGGAGCGAGGTGAGCAGCGTGAACCAACCGAGAGAGAAAGAAAAAGAAATCTTGCTAATGAAAACTAAGGCGCGAGAAAGCCGCAGCCATTATGAAAACAGGCGCCGCCGCCCCCTCTCTCTCTCTCTCTCTCTCTCTCTCTCTCTCTCTCTCTCTCTCTCTCTCTCTCTCTCTCTCTCTCTCTCTCTCTCTCTCTCTCTCTCTCTCTCTCTCTTTCCCACCCCACTTGGCTCGCGGTGAGGCGGAAGTTGTGATAGAGCCTCTTACTACTTCCTGTTTCCTTTTCCTCAGCTGGTGACGTCCAACGCCATCCGGGTGCAGACCCCTCCCCGCCACATCCCGGGCGTCGTGGAAGTCACCCTCTCCTATAAATCAAAACAGTTCTGCAAGGGCGCCCCCGGCAGATTCGTCTACGTCTGTAAGTACTTTTGTTTTCCTTTTCCATCCCCGTGTTTGGCCGGGCAATAAAACTTGGTGGCGTTAATGTGTTTTGCTTGTCCTTCACAACTCGTTTTTCTCATTTTTTCTTCTTCGTTTTTCCTCGACCGCAGCCCTGAGCGAACCCACCATCGACTACGGCTTCCAGAGGCTGCAGAAACTCATACCCAGACACCCCGGCGACCCGGACAAGCTGCCCAAGGTGAGGGTGACAGACGACAAAATGTTTCCCGCGCAGAAACACTCTCTCTCTCTCTCTCTCTCTCTCTCTCTCTCTCTCTCTCTCTCTCTCTCTCTCTCTCTCTCTCTCTCTCTCCTCACACACACACACACACACACACACACACACACACACACACCAAAAAACCTACGAGGGCTCTCAGCAGTGCAGCGCGCACCGCGCTGTCCCCTTCCGTGTAATCGAGTTGGCTAACCTGGCTGCGGTGGCGCTAGGCGGGCAGGGCAGGGCCAGGCGGGGCCAGACAGGGCCTTGCTGCAACATGTTGCACTGGCAGGAGACGACACGCGAAGCAGACGACACGACAGTGTGCCAACAGCCCGGAACAAAATATTCATCTCATTCTCTCAGGTTGTCATCTTGCGGCGGGCCGTGATGGCCTGTTTTATTAACGCGACACTCCCCTTCGCTCCTCTCTCTCTCTCTCTCTCTCTCTCTCTCTCTCTCTCTCTCTCTCTCTCTCTCTCCCTCTCTCTCTTCTCCCTCTCGCTCGCTTTCTCCTCCTTTCTCCGCGGCGGGCTGTCATGTCGTCGCGGGCCGCCCCGCCACAATCTCAAGCTTCGGCGCGCAAACCTAATAAAAAAGTTGCCGTTCCGGCGGTGTGGGTTCAAGTGGAAGAAGTGGAGGTTAAGCCCCCGACCCACAGTGAGCCAGAAGACCGGTGGAGGCGGCCAAAACTCTAGACGCGTTTTGAGCTCCAGAGTCGCTAAACAGGGCTCGAACCGAACGTGTGACCCCACCAATGAATTCCTCGTTAGGAGAGCAACCCATTGGTGGGGTCACACGTTCGGTTCGAGCCCCATTTAGCGACTCTGGAGCTCAAAACGCGTCTGGAGTTTTGGCCGCCTCCACTGGTCTTCTGGCCCACTGTGCGTCCCAGACTCCGCCAAGACTAACGTGCCGCCGCTGTTGTTGTTGTTGCAGGAGATCATCTTGAAGCGGGCGGCCGACCTGGCCGAGGCGCTGTACAGCATGCCCAGGAACAACCTGCCGCTGTCCGCGCCGCCGCGGTCGCCCACCAGCATGACCACCTCCAACGGCATGAGCGGCGTCGGCGGCGTCGGCTTCAACTCGTACTCCGGGCAGCTGGCCGTCAGCGTGCAGGACACCAGTGGACACGGTCAGTGGACAGAAGGTGCGCGCCAGCCACTCGAACGACGTACCCAACTTTGACAAACAAACAAAATTTTTTAAAAAAAAAATAAAAAAAAGAATGAAAATCTAGCTTGAATTTTTAAAATGACTACTTGGACTCAAAACGAACAACTTATGAAACTTTACTGAAAATAACTACGAACTAAAACTGGAAATCCTGAGTCCGGCTGGTTGCGAAGCGACCTATCCTTTCTTCTAATTAACGTACCTGCTTCCGTAAACGCTTTGAAGTGTATTTAGTCATCTTAGAAGTAGCTAGTCGTAGCGAAGAAACTGTTCCTCTTCCTTGTGTTGACTGTACTAAGAGGGTCCTTTTTCACTCCAACTCGGACATCCCCACTGTAAACTCCGAGGGGGCCACCACCCCCGTAATCCTGTGTACAAATTGGCTGGTAATCTCTGGTAATCCATGGCGTAATCACGTAATCCTTGACGAAATTCTGACATTTTTCAACGTTTTTAGTCATTTTTCAACGTTTTTGAGCTATTTTTCAACGTTTCCGAACCAATTTTCGAAAATTTCACGCGTAATCCCTGGTAAATATCCCGTAATCCCGTAATCTTGTGTACGCCTGAAATGAGAGTGGTGGCCCCCACTGTAAACTCCGTACGGGGCGACCTTTAACTTGCGGTTTGGCGTGTTTGGCTTGCGTAGACGAGTATGGCGGGGGCGGCGGGGCGGCGGGGGCGGTCGGGGGCAGGGTTCGAGCGCCGCCTCCACGCCCCACTCCACCACCGGCTCGGCGCTGGGCGGGGCGCAGGGGGCCGTGGGGGCCGCGGGGGCCCCGTCCGCCTCGAGCTACGCCGCGGGCCCCGCGGGGGGCGGCAGCCTCGGTGGCACCGCCGCCATGGGGGCGGCCACCCCCGGCTACGCCACCGCGTCCACGCCCCAGCTCACCAACCTGGGCTGCCCGTCGACGGGACTGTTCGGCTCCACCAGCAGTAAGTGGCGTAGCACTGTAGGCAGGCCGCCCCTCCAGCTCCGCTCACACTCACTCAGCACCGCTAGCCTCGCCGCTGCAGAGGGGGACAGTGTCTGACCGCCTTCGTTTTGTCTTTCCGCAGAAATGGGCAGCTTCTTCTCCACGTCGTTCTCCTCGATGAACCCCTTCACCCTCCAGACGTGAGCTGGACCTGCACTGGGAGACGCGAAGACAGCGGGCCGGCCGGACGTCCCCGATGGAGAAGCGATTGTCTCGATCGAGTCTCGATGGCGCCCTCCAGCCGGCCGAACCTAGATTCTTTTCCGTACAGTCCGTGAATACGCACGGGGAGTCCTCGCTCTGCGTGGTTAGTCACGGCATCTGTATATAAGTGGTATCAACCTGTGTGATTGAGTAAATGTATAGTGCTGTTTTGTACACTTCCTTGCTAGTGATTACTTTGTTATATCCGTGGGTCAAATTGTGGAACGGTATACAACGAGCGTGATGTGTTGTTATTATTGTTATTGTTGAGTTTGTGAGAAAGTTTTTCTCGGCTTATTTATTGAGTACAAATCATTGTTTTGGTTGAGTTTATTATTATTATCATGATTATTATTATTTATTTGTTTCCGATGGACAAGTGCAATTTTATAGTGAATTTTGTTGGTTAAAGTCATTCCTTATTATAGCTAAATGGTAACAATTTGAGGGCGTGTTTGGGCAATGCTCAGGTCACTTTCGATATCCTTGATCATATCAATGAGTCATTGAACATTTCATAATTGTAATTATCCTTCTCGTACTTCCTGTAATGCCTCTCCTTTTTGTCTTTTCGTGATCAAATCCACCAATAAAGATCCCAACACATATCTATAAGATCGTACAATTAAATATGTTATGACTTCTTTTTTGTAAATAAATACTTATATGAATATAAATTTTATTACAAAAACACGCACGAGAGTTGTCTTGTTCCCGTTCCCTGCTGTCCCAAGTCCCTCGGCAAACGTTACACTTTGCTGCCATTGGCGGCTCGCCGGTTCCCCCACAGTGTGGTCGCTGCGGTCGCTGCGGTCGCTGGGGTCACGTTCCTTCTGCAATAAAAACCTTGGCGGTCCGAGCGGCCTGGGCGGCCGGCGCAGGCCGTAAGTTTGAAAAGGACGACCCGTGTGAATCTTTAACGGGGCGCAGGGCGCGGGGCTGCGACACCAATTTTGACCGACCCTCTTGTTTCAACCCTTTAAAAAGGGGGAAGCAGTGTAGCGGAGGGCCCAAGGAAGCGGGCCGACTCGCACAGTGGAGTAACTCCATAAAAAGAAGTTATTTGTCTTTAAGGCGAAACACAAGTGGCTTCGGACACGGTGGTGGACTGCGGGGTTTGCCTATGCTAGCTCCTCACACTGTCATCATTTTTGGGGGAGGAAAACCTTGTGGGCCAAAAGAAAGGAAAGGAGGAGAGAGGCCGGAAAGAAAATGTGTCCGTCTGCCTCTAGTGCTGACGACACGGCACATCGAGGAAGGACTTCCCTTCCTGGCTGCACGTCTACGCAGCGGATGCAGAGGGGGGGGGGCACGGCCGTACTTCATGCATATAAATACGTGGATTGCCGCGCGGCCCTTAGGAGCGTCAACCCTTTCACCCCCACCCTGGCGTGCCCTGCCGTGCCCTGCCGTGCCGTGCCCTGCACTGGCAGTGCCCTGTCCCAGGGCGCCGTGGCGGTCTGCCGGTGCACTAACAGTGTCGCCTTGGCAGTTCCACCCACAGCGTAGTTGTCGCCTACAGTGCTCGTTAAGAATAGGGTTGTTTGGATGGTTTTCGGAACCAAGTATGTGTGTATGTACCGCTGCAGGAGCGCAATCAGACAGACGGACAGGTAGACAGACCGACGCGTAGTGGGCCGGAAGACCGATGGAGGCGGCCAAACTTCGAGACGCGTTTTGAGCTCCAGAGTCGCTAAACAAGACTCGAATAGAACGAGTGACCCCACCAATGGATTTCTCGTTCGGAGAGCAATCCATTGGCGGGGTTGTTCGGTTCGAGACCCATTTAGCGACTCTGGAGCTCAAAACGCGTCTAGAATTTCAGCCGCCGCCAACGGTCTTCCGGCCCACTGTGCGACGGCGACAGACAGGCAGGCTGACAGACAGCGAGATGACTGGGCCAGATTCCGGACAGGCGGTCGAGGGGCCTTGGGGGACCTTGAGGGACACGGGGTCCTCGGGGCCGCCGAGGTGCACGCCTCGCCGCGGGGGATATGATAAAGACGGACTAATGCGCGGTGCACCGCAAAAAGGCGCTTAAAAACTGCAGCGCCGCTCATCGCCCGAGCCATCGCGGGGGATATTAAGCTATATATATTCAGGCAAACTGCCTTTCTCGGGGAGAGAAGGGTTGAAAGGTGTTGCGGCACGTGGGGCGCGCGCGGCGCCGTCTCCGAAGCACGCCACCCAAAGAGACGGACTCCCGAGGTACGAGGTTAACCTGGTTGATCAGGTCAACCTGGGTTGATCAGGTCAACCTGGGTTGATCAGGTCAACCTGGGTTGATCAGGTCAACCTGGGTTGATCAGGTCAACCTGGGTTGATCAGGTCAACCTGGTTTGATCAGGTCGACCTGGTTGATCAGGTCAACCTGGTTGATCAGGTCGACCTGGGTTGATCAGGTCAACCTGGTTGATCAGGTCAACCTGGGTTGAGCAGGTCAACCTGGTTGATCAGGTCAACCTGGTTGATCTGGTCAACCTGGTAGATCAGGTCAACCTGGTAGATCAGGTCAACCTGGTAGATCAGGTCAACCTGGTAGATCAGGTCAACCTGGTAGATCAGGTCAACCTGGTTGATCAGGTCAACCTGGTTGATCAGGTTAATCTCATGCGTGATTTTTTTAAAGTTGACTCGATAGGGAATTACTCTGTTGTTGACATGCATCGACGGGCGGACAGCGGTGAGTGCACCGTGTTTGACACACTGGTAATCAAGGCTGTCACGGCCGCGCCACTGCAAGCCACACTGCCTATACACGCCGCACCTATCGCGGCACGCCCGGCCTGTGAATAACTTATTTGGCCATGCCATCACATATTTAAATTTTATGGTCTCACTGCGGGCCGGGGACGGGCCGGGGGCAGGCCGGGGGCGGCGTGGGGGCGGGCCGGGGGCGGCGGGAGTCACCGCGGAGGGGAAAGGGGTGAGGGAGTTTGCAACATTTCGGAAACTGCGAGTTTAATGCAAAACAACTTGATGCGGCCCATCGCAGTGGCCTCCCCCACCCCTCCGCTAGCGCACGGCGTGGCGTGGTACCCACCACCGACTCCCCCGACTTGCACAACAAGTAGTGGTGCAGCTACAGCGGGAACACCCCGCGCGCATCCGCCCCCGCGAACGCGGCGCAACTCGAAACGCCGAAGACGGCGGCGCGGCGGCAGACACATGTTACACTCTTTCCAAGAGTATGACAATAAACGCTTCGACATGTTTCCGGCTCGTGTTGTCCTCCCGGCCCCCTCTCCTCCTCCTCCTGAGAGGGAATGGGCCTCCAGAGACCGAGAGTTCATTTATTGACCCCCTCGCCTTGCCTTCGCCTGCCTCGCCTCACCGCCTCCTCGACTTCTATCTCCGTCTCTCTCCCTCTCCCTCCCACTCCACCATATATCAGTCTCGCTCTCACTTTCGCCGCCGTCTTCGGCGCCCTCGGTCTTATTCGCGTTGGTCATCCCTCGGCCCGACTTCTGACTGGTGTGCAGGCCGGCCAGGCCGGCCAGGGGATCTGTAAAAGCCAGGGAAACGCTTATGGGAAGGATAGCCCGCAAGGAAAAAAAAAGTCTGTTTTTATTTTTTTGAAAAATAACAGTAAGAAAATCTGGGACAACGTCCGCATATTTTTTTGCATACGTAGCATGAAATCTGCTTCGGGAAAACCCCACACCAACTGCATAGACTATGTAGACTACTGTCCATGGTGCCTGACAGGAGGTGATGCCAGGGGCTTCAGGTGAGAGGGAGGGATGGAGAGAGTGAGAGGGACGGAGGGAGGGGGCCTCAACCCTTTACTCGTGAATATGATGACACTGTCAACCCCTGCATGGTCCTATACGTGTTGGCGCCTGTTTGAAAATGCAAACACACACACACACACACACACACACACACACACAAACGGCAATAAATAGACTATGGCGAGGCAAACTAATCTAATCCCTCCGCTTAGCTCATCGCCCCCAGCTCGGCCATGGCATCTCCCTCCGGCTCTACCCGTAGCAGCGGTTTGCAATGACACGAAACTGTCCGAACAACAACTACCACATTTTTTATCTGTGTTTCGGTTTTATTTTCTGCCGTTTCCTTTACAAAATACTTAGTACTGTCACGGTGTCTCGTGCGCTGCTCGCGTGCCGAAACACGCGGACACACTTTAGGTATAATTACAGTGGTGCCCCCCGGGGCCGCCATGCCTCGTTGGCACTATAGGGTTGCCACCAATTTTTCTACACCATTTTCCACGGCTTTCGAGACCGAAAATCCGAGTATTTTCCCACAACCCTTTCAATCGAGAAACCTATTTTCCAACAATCTTGTAGAACTTTCTTTTTAAGTTCCTTTTTTCTAGTTACATGTCGTTTTGTAAAATTTCCGGCTGTGTTTCGTGACTTTTCTCACCAAAACAGCTGTACACGTCAAGCGTCGCAACCAGTCGATGCGTGACTTTTTCCAATCCAACTTTTTCAGGAAAACTCCCTCTCGCCCACCAAAAGAGGTCCGCGGCTGAAGACATACGTACTCCTGCGCGCCTTCATACAGTGGTGGCACGTCGCGTTGCAGAATAAATTATTTTACCGCACTGGCCGGGGTGGGGTGGGGCGGGGCGGGGTGGGGTGGGGTGGGGCGGGGGCCCCCGAGGGGCGTTCAGTCGGGCCGCGAGGGGGCCGTGTGCGCGTAAAACGGTGGAAATAAACCACGTGTCGCACACACACAAACACACACGCATGCACACACACACGCGGACCCACACGGACACACCTCTGGAACCCCCGATCGCCGCAAAGACCTCTTACAAAGTTGTGTCCGTAATAAACCATACGCCTGCGCACAGATTCGGATTGGGATGCGCGTTGTGTGAGCCAGTCCCCGGAGATGCGCCTCGCGTCCCGCGCAGTACAGGTTTGATATTGATATTCGTATTCGGTCGTTCCGCGGGGACAGCCCCCGCCCCCCGCGCGGTGAGATTGGTACTGCCGCGCTAAGCTGGGCGTCGCGCCGCGTCCCCGCTGGCTGACAGTGGTGTGGCGGTAGCAGGCCCCCGCGGAAGTAACCGCGTAACTACGCCACTGGAACTACTCGGACTACCGGCCCTCCACCGGCGCTGCAGAAGGGAATGAGAGTAGGCTTTGCACCGGATGAACTGCCGCCGCCGCTGTAGCTCCGAATAACAGTGACTCCGTCTCACTCGCACCCCCACGGAACGCCCCATGAGTGGGAGAGAGATAGGGCGACGACAGGGACCGTTCCGAGCCAGCATGCTGACCCACCGAGCGCGCTGGTCGGCCTCGACGCCGCGCCGCTGCGCCCTGGGCGACCCGTGCAATCCTACGTCAATCAGGTCACGCTCTCTGTCACACACACACACACACACACACACACACACACACACACACACACAAACACACACACACACACACACACACAAACAAACAGAGCTTTTTCCATGTCCACCTCACCAGGCTGTGATCGTTGGCCAAATTGTGGGGGCTTTTTATTGGATTTGCTGGCCGGTTTTCGCCAAGGGACTTCCCCCAGCGATTTTGACAGCCAGGTGCCACACTGGCGGCGAGAATAGTGCGAGAGAGACAGAGACAGAATCAGAGCAGCAACTGGATTACGCGGACGTCACTCG